GTAAGAACCAAGATGCATTATGTAAAGGTACAATTCCCAATGAGAAATGTAATTGTGTTGTATACCTACAATGTACCAATAAAATAATTTAATACAAAAAAAAAAGATTAACTAGTCTGCCACCCTTAATCTTAGTCTTAGGAAAAGTGTCTGGACACAAGCAAAATGCAGCCAAACTTTCTGCCATGGTATAACACAAAATTTCTGGAGTCCAACAGCCGGTGCAGTTCTTCCCAGCAGAAACCTTCTGACCCTGGTCTTTACTGGCAGGTTTTCTATCAGCCTTCTGGTCTTCTAAACTTTGACCAGAATTTCCCATCAAGTACAGTCTAAAGCATTGCAGCTCTGCTTTTTCAGCTGGCATCTCCAAACCTTTCCAAACTCTTCCCACATGCCAGCTGCAAAGGCTCCTAAACCACATGGTCAGGTACAGTCACAGCAACAATGCCACTCCTCTGGTACCAAATTCTCTTACTTTTCTTGTTGCTGGGACAAAATACCCAACACTCAAAGTTAAAGGAGGAAAGGTTTACTTAGCTCACAGTTTGTACAGGTTTCAGTCCACAATCAGCTGGCTCCCAGGATGAATGGCAGATAGGCATTACAGAAGAGATAGTTCTTGGCAGGCAGAAGGTAGCAAAGCAAGTACAACTCTTTCAATCCCTTATATCGTATCCTGGGTACTTAGGGTGGGTAGCACTCATACCCTTAGTCCTAGTATTGCATCATGAATGAATCACACACTAGATTCAGCCACTTCTGAAAAAGCCCCACCTATGACTGCATGAGGCTTTGGGGTGGACATCTAGACACAAGCCATAACATAAACCTACTTCTTTCTAGAGAAGTTTTTTGGTACCTGGGATTGAACTCAGGACCTTGTGCTTACCAGGCAGATGCAGTGCCACTGAGCTACATCGCCGGCCCTACAAACCTTTCTGTGGGCCCATCAGAGAAAAGATTTACTGTTCCTGTGGTCTAAGAAGTTGATTTATACAAATCAACCCACAGTACTAGGTAGGTCCTAATTGGACTGTATCCAGGAAAGGGAAATGCTTTGCACTTTCAAACTCATCACCCTGGCTACTTTTGCATCTTACTTGGGCCAGATGAATACTCTGCAGATAATTGTTCTCACTCACATCCATATGCCTGCCTCCCTTTCCTTAGAGGCAGCGCAGTTTATCACCCAATACACCTGCCTTTAGAACAGAGATGGCAAATCTTTTGGAGACCAAGTGCCCAAACTGTAACCCATAACCCACTTATTTATTGCAAAGTGCCAACACTGCAATTAAACCTGAATACTGAGGTTTTAGTTTAGAAAAAATAATCTTTTGTCTTAAAAGAAAATCACAACAACAGAGTTTTCAATGATACAAATAGCCCTCTGTGACATGCATGTATGGGTTCACCAGGACTGCTCTAGAAGCTTGATATGGATGCTATCTTCTTTCTAGAGGGCCATCTGGACCAGATGCCCAGATGCCTTAAGACATTCTAGAAGAAACTGTCAATAATTTACTACCAGTTTTAGATTTAGACATGAACTATCTGTCCCACTGAACAAACACTGGTTGGCTAACACACCTGGATCAGAGGGCCATCATCTGGACAAAGTTAAGCCCACAGCCTCTCCAAGTTCTACTGGTAAACACTGCCATCACCCTCTAGACCCTGAACTTAAGAGACCTGTGGGATTGCAGACTCTATGCTACGCTGCCTGCCCTGAACTGCTGCTCCCAGCTTAGGACCTTCTGCTTCTATAGGAAACATATCACTATGTCTGTGCAGGAGGACCTACTACAGCACACTTCCAGGCTGAGCCACTTATGCCTGGAGCTGTACCCTGTCTCTCAGAAAGGTATTATGGCTAGGGTGCTATGGCCTGGACAAAATTTTCCCAACTTCAGGCTCAGCTGATGGCAATACTCAGGGACTTAAAACAGCTAACAGCAGTACTTTTAAATGTTGTCCTCTGCCCCCAGTGTGGCTGCCATGCAATCTACAACCCATGTTCAATTCCTGTCTGATACCTGCTTAGGTGGGTGCATATATAAAAAGCTTTCTTCTGGTACCTAGAAATGAAAGTGAAGACATAGGTCCATCATAAGGGAATTGAGAAGCCATCATTTCAGACATTGCCTGAAATGCTGAGTGGGAAGAAAGGTAACGTAGGGATCTGGATTAGAGGGGAGTTGTGTCTTATGGAGTTAAAGTTATTCCTTCATGGGTTGCCCTGAAGAAATGGTCAGAAGTAAATAGGACGTCAGTGTTAAAAACTGTAATCTGGGTAACAGAATTTAAAATGAATAACCCACTGGTGAATATTTGAATCTCGGATTATAGTAGGAATGCTGTACTGTGATTTGTGTATGAAGGGCATATATTTCATCACGTCAAATTCCATCTTGGCAAGTAATAAGTAATATACAAAGAAAGTGAGTGTGAAAATAGTTTCTGTCAGAAATACACAATACCATAAGATACTATTATATACAA